GTGCCGACAAGAGGAGTCGGATCAGGGCGCCAGGACTCGGGGGTTCCTGGGGCTGCTTCCCGCGGCTTGTCCCCGGTTCCCACCAAGAAACGGGGAGCCCAGAGCCACGGGCTGCAGCCCTCCATGATTCTGGCCCTTGGGCCCCTTGCAAAGGGAAACTGAGGCACGCAAGGACCTCAGCAGCTTTCGGGCCATGTCCCAAGGGCAGAGCCTCATCCTGCAGGCAGCCTGCTCTGGGGGTTCCTTGCACCCACTCCCTGGGACACGGGTACGACCCCCTGCCCACATGCCAGCCGTGGGTGCTCTGTGCAGTGCCTGGCACAGCAGGGTTAGGGGTCAGACGTGCTAATTAGCCACTGATAATGATTGCTCCTGCCCTGCATTAGCAGGTAATGAGTATTTGCTGGGGAGCAGCCTCCCTCCCCCAGCTGTGGGGGCTGAAGGACTGATGTCGGTCTCTCCTCGGCCGGCTCAGAGCTGCCGCTCTGCAAAGGAAGGGCTTTTGCTCCCTTTCGGCTTTATGCAAAGCCAGCACCAAGATATGGCTCAGCTCGGAAAATTCAGCTGAAACCAAGCCCACGCTCCAGCCCGGCTGAGCAGAGCCAGGACACACACCCCGAGCGACCTCCAAAAGTCTCCGTGATACCCAGAGCCCGAGCAGGAACAGCCTCAGCGTGAGCACGGGGCGGGGATGCAGTCAGGCATGGTCCCTCCGGGATGGCCCCGGGGATGAGCACTGCGTGGGGAGGGACACGGCGGGGAGCCCACAGTCCCCCCCGCCGGGCTGACCGTAACGCTGTCCCTTTGCCTTCTCCCGCCGGGACCCCGCAGCACCAAACCCACGCCGGAGGAGGTGCGGGGCTGGGCACAGTCCTTCGACAAGCTGATGAAGAGCCCGGCGGGTCGCAACGTCTTCCGGGAGTTCTTGCGGACTGAGTACAGCGAGGAGAACATGCTCTTCTGGCTGGCGTGCGAGGAGCTCAAAAACGAGTGCAACAAGCACACCATCGACGAGAAGGCCAGGATGATCTACGAGGACTACATCTCCATCCTCTCGCCCAAGGAGGTATGGGGCAGAGCCCCTGGAGGG